TCCGTCGCAACCCAGCAGGGGCCGGGGGCTCAGGCCCAGCACCCCGGTGGCCGGCTCCGTGTCCCAGCGGGCGCCAGGGGACAACGCGGCGGCGCCTGAGCCCAGCAGTGGCCGGTGGCTGAGCTGCCCTGGGGAGGCCCAGGGAGCCCAGGAGGGCGAGTCCCTTCCGGCCAGCAATGGCCTGTGGGCCAGGCCCAATGAGGACAGGCCTGAGCGGGTGCTGGGGGGGGCCTCGCCCAGGGCCCCCCACGACAGCCCCGTGCGGGCCTCGCCCTCCTCATCCTCTTCCTCCTCCTCCTCCTCCGAGTCGCCCTCATCGCCGGGGCTCCCCCTGCGGCTCAGCCGTGGGCCCTGGGGCCGCCCCGGGCTCGGCTGGGCTGCCTGGCTGCGGCGCTGGGCCGCCCGCTCGGCCCGCAGGCAGCCCAGCTTCTTCTGGTAGAGGCGGCGGGTGGTGTCGGTGACGGGCCCCGCCTCGTAGCCCAGCGCCAGCAGCTCCCGCCGAAGCTCGGCATCTGACAGGGCGGCCATGGCGGAGCGGCGAGAGGTGGGCCGCAACCCGGAAGCGGCCGTCGACCTGGGAAGCGCAGGCGCCATCTTGGGAAGCGGGGGGCGCCATCTTGGGAGGGTTGCGGCAGTTGAGTCGAAGGGGGCGCCATCTTGGGAAGGTCAGCGAGGGGTGGAGGGCACTGGTGGGCGCCATCTTGGGAAGGTCGCGGCCGCCGCCATTTCCCGAAGGGCTGAGTCGAGCAGCGCCATCTTGGGAAGGTCAGTGAGGAGAGAGGGGTGGGCGCCATCTTGGGAAGGTCTCAATGACACAATGTGGTACCTTTGTCCTTCCGTTTCACAAGCAGGCCCATGCACAGTCTGAAGCAGTGCGTGGGGGACAGGGGCTTGTTGTTGCTAACTGGATTAACAAATCTCAGGGCATAAGGCTGTGGCCTTAATAATTAGAGGACATAAAGGCATTAGGTTTCACATCAACAGAGGACGGAGTAGCAGAAAACCAACATGTGCCCTCTGATGGCCACCCTATTTTTTGCCGCTTATACGACTGCAAGTGTTGCAGTGCTGGGCGCCTGGGTGTGTAAAAATGCCCAATGGCAACTGACCCTGCCTTCCACCTACACCTCCAGGTCTGAGAGCACTGGGGACATGCCTCTCTGACTAGGCCAGGGTACCTTTATTAGTAGTACTAATAGTATCCATAGTAGTAGGAGTAATACTAGTAATAATTACTATTACTACTAGTAGTAATAATAATTGTAACAATAATAATAATTAACAACCACCACAGCAACAGCAGTAGTAGTGCCATGTCTGAAGGAGCTCTTTCTGGGCTTGTCACTTGCCCGTCACTCTCATCTTGGGGCCACGCTTACTATCAGTGCTGAGCAGGAACAAACCTGGCAGGTTCATCAGGATGCCCCTGACATTACCGCCTCCCAGCCGTTTCCCAGCTGTGTAAACTGGATGCGATCACGAGACAAAAGCTGCCAGCCTCAAACAGAACCCAATGAACTAAAATGGTGCCTGAATGCACCCCTCGGGCAGCGCTCCTCGTGCGTGCCACCACCACCGAAATCATCACGGGGGCCTCAATGTGGTGTGGCCAAAACGTTCACTCCTGACAGTTGTCTGTGGTTGGTCCCACCGGCAGGCGATTGCTCCTCTTCCCTTCGTTCATGCAGTTTAGCTTCCCTTTCAAGATGAGAGAAGACTTTTGAAGTGTGAGACATTTCAGCTGGGTCTTGGCAGGGGCTGCTGTGGAGGGCAGAATACAGCAACCTTTCAGAGTGGAGTCATCTGATTTGAAGTTGCATCTTGTACAATTTCAGCAAGTGATGGCGCCTTTGATTTTAATTAATGCTTTAACTAAGAGGAAAAGTTGGTGTGGCTGCGTCTATCTCGCCGTGCCCTCCTTTCGCACTCACTTTGCTCTCAGCCTTTGTTCTAATTTAGGCTATCAGATCAAGCTATTCAAGGTTTTCCTGATTTATTAAAGAAGGCGGCTGCCAAATGCCCTGAGATTTGTTAATCCAGTTAGCAATAACAAATGCATGCTTAGCAGAGGCCAGAGGGCCCATTGAAAAAGACTGCTGTGCTCTGATGAAGAATGTGGAAATACTAAGCTTAGTTTTCAATATTCACTCACTGAAAAATGCAACTGACAGCTAATAATTTGAAGCAGTCTTATGTAAATGTGGCATTAGACTATCTCCCTAGTCCTCCTCCGGCCCCGTTCCTGTAGGCTTACACATTCCAGGTGGCTTGGATAAAGCTATGCCCAAGCCTGTGGACTTCAAGACCATGCAAGCACCCACACTAATGCAAATGCCTATTTTCTGTGTGCTTCTAGCACTGGTTTTGCCTTTTTCTGGGATTAGGTCGTCCAGATGCTTGGAGCAGACGTAAAGCATAGCAAAACCTGCAAGTGCTTGGCTACTCAGCATCCCCTGCATTTCAGGCTCGGCATGACCCACCCATCCGCTCACACACTCCAAGCGTGGAGGTGTGCCAGCAAAGTGTCCACCCACAGTCACTGTGACACCCGGTTGCTCAAGGGTACTTGGTTGGGCTCCCCCAGCAAGGCCTCCCAGTGCATTTCTTGGTGTGGAAGATCTCTCCTGCAGCTTAACCAGCAAGCCCTCATCCGTGAGAGGCGAGTTCTCAGCTCGCCTCTTTTCCCCCCTGCAGTAATGCAGTTTGCTATCCTGGAAACTGCACAAGCCATGGCCGACAAGAATGATTTGAGCTGATGGTGGGCAATTGAGTGCTGACAACAAGAGGAAAAAGGGGAAAGAAAGGAACCGACACACCTAAGCAGCCGCCCAGTATGCCATGCATACAGATGGGGCTGCAGCCTTGCTCTCTGTTTTGGTTCATTATTGAGGTGCCCATCAGAGGCAGACAGTCTGGAAGGGGAGCATGATTGTTTCAGTGTACAGCATGAGCCAGAAGGCAGTGACTGGTTAAAGGGACCCTGTCAGGCCTAGAAAGAGCCCTTGCCATGAGAAATGGGGGACCAGCTATGGGAAGCAACCCCTTCCCACTGCTTGCGACTGCTCCCTGTGGTTGGGGAGAAGTAGAGATGACAGCTTGTTCTCTTAGTCTCTCTCACTCCACTTTCCTGTGCAGCACTAGCAGTGAGGGAGCTGGGCTTGTGCACTGTCTGCCACGGGCTGTTTGTGTCCCCCTGTGCCACCCTACTGAAGCCAGAAGGAATCTGCCCAGGCAAGATCCTGAGTGCAAGGCCATACAGCCAAGGGCCATGAGCCATGTATAGATTGCATGGAGGCTCAGTTCTGCGCTCTGGGCCTGGAGAAGGGCATGCTGAGGGGGCCAGAGAAAGACATGCATCCCCCTATGTCCCTCCAGTAGCCATGTGGCAAATGCACCAGTAGTAACCAGCTAGAGGCTCTGGTGAGTTATCCTGGGAAACCTCCTCCACACGAGGCTGGCAGGGGAAGAGCCAGCTGGAGAAACACCATTGGTACAGTCTCACTGACAGACCTGAGTAGGAGATGCAGGGGCAAGAGCAAGTACAGAGATGCTAGTCCCTAGGCGAACACCCCTGTGCCTGGCATAGACTTTGGGTATCTGCATGACGGAGGAACGGAGCCCCTTTGTGTTCCTCCCACCTCCTGCATGCCATGGGAACCTCTCTGATTATACCTTGGGTGAGATACAGGATTTGGCCCATCAAGAATAGCAGGTCAAGCTCTGATCTCGCTTATGCCAGGGTCAATTTTGGGATAACTTCACTGGTGCCAAGTCCTCAGCTGGTGTCAACTGGCTTGGTCCTGCTGAAAGTCAACTTACACCTGCAGAGCATCTGTACCAGCAAGGTTTTGCTCTGCTCCCCTTTCAGCCCAGCCAAATATATTACATTCATTATCTCCCCACTCTCAGATTCAGTTACCAGTGGTTTTATAGCACAACCTGCCCTTCAGCAATAATCCTTGTGAACGTCCAGCTACATTAAGCTGATCAGCATGTGCAGCAGAAATATGTTTGTGAATTATATGTTAAAGCTAGAAAACCACTCCTGACTCTATGTTCCATTATACGCTGGGAGATTTCTCTTCTCCTAAGGGAGAGAGTGCCTTTCAACATACACAGCACAGAGGAGTGAGACTGGCATGTGCGCTATTCTGGCACAAATACTGCAGCTATTTAAATGATCCACAGTGACAGCAACATTTATGTTCAGCGGGGAGAATAAAATTGAATTGGAATGGGATACATGCACACACATATCGTTCGTCTCATTATTGCATGCCTTACAGATGTTGAATCTCACGGCACCCGGAGAGGGACAAGTCCTTAAATAAGCAAAAGGCACGTCAACCTGTAGCCATTACAGTGAAATTAGCATCAGTTTTGCTTGCAAGACACAGATAAGCAGGGAGACCTGGATGGTTTTATGTGCAGTATGTATTGAATTCATGGGTAGAGTGCCCCCATCAACAACTCAACATCTAACGCCTGGTACTTTTTGTGTTTGCAGGGACTATCACGATACCTGGTGGCAGGGACTACTGTGATATACCACCTGGCAGAAAGGACTCAAGCAATCAAAGCAGAGAATTTCAGGTTAGGTGCTGTTCCTGGCTGTGGGAGCGAGTGCCCTCTGGCGATCACAAAAAGGAGCCGTGAGGCAGGATGCTGGGGTTCCCTTCCCACCTCTGAGGCTATGTCCTTTTGTGGGTAGGTGGGTATAGGGTGTAGGGATTGTATTACCACTCTTGCTATTTGACTTTCAGCAAGTCATTCTACCTTCCTGTGGCTCGACTTCCCTACCTGTACAGGAGGATGACTAAAACGTGTAGTGGGTGTGTGAAGCCTAATTACTCAGTGTTTGCAAAATGCTTTGAACTCCTTGGAAAAAAAGGTGGTTTTCTATATAACGGCAACCCATTAAGAGGTAATGTTGTTTTGCTGCTTTCATGCGCTTTGCGCTCACCATCTGCCTAATAAACTTATTTAAAAGAGCCAAATCATTCATTTAATTAAACTGCACATTTTATTAGCTCGCATCAGATTGTTTCGAAACCCTTGACAGATTCAGTTTACATGCGTGTAGGCTTTTAGGTTAGCAAGCGGCACCGCCTTACGCTTCTGATTCAGTTAGCTATAAAGAGAGGAGAGAACAAACATAATTAATTCACGTCTTTATGGGCTTGCTATACAATTGCCAGTCCTTCGTATACAATTCCCAGTTCTGTATAAGCCTTGTATACAGTTCCCAGTCCTCTGTATAGTTTCCCATTTTTTACAAGCCTTCTATACAATCCCCACTTCTTTATGTCAAAATCCCCATTCTTTATAAGCCTCACATACAATTCCCATCCTCCTCAACTTCCACACTTCAAAAATGATAAATAACCCCTGACACCCACTTAGTCAGACTGAAATAACAGTCCCACAGAATGGATGTTGCTAGAGCCATTTCAGCCTGGCCTGGATAAAGCCCCAGAGAATTCCCTGTAGATAACAATCCCCCACAAGGGTGTTGACATAAATCAACTCAATAACTTAAACACAGGAGTTTTCCTTCTCTATTCTTTGTATACAAAGCTTTAGATTATCAGAAGAGCTCGGGGACAGATTTGCTGTCTAAGCAGGGACAGATTTTCAGAGTTTGTCTCCTTTTTAGGCTCCAGAAGTGCTAGATTTTCAGAGGACCTCATTATATTCATTTCAGGGGTAGTGTATGTGGTGTAAGCACAGTAGGTTTCATTGTAGCATGCCCTATCTTGGTCTGGAAGCAGTAGCAAACATGACCAGTCACAAACTCCACCCAAGTTTTCCTTTGCTCTGGGGCTGGGGGAACATGTGCAAGCTCATGCACGAGCATGTGGCACACTGTGCTGACTGGTGCATTGTGGAGGGGAACCAGGCTCCATCCTTCTGCACCCACATGCAGTGGCGGTACATCACAGCTACACGGAGGTTGTTGCCCCGTCCGTACTCCTGCCCATGAGACGAATAGGAAGCTCAGTGTCAGGTGTATTACACCTTACACTCACTTTTACATCCCTTGAGGACATACAGGATGGTCCCTAACAGGCAGAAGAGAAACAGGCCCCAGAGATGCTCAGCACAAGCCTTGCACCCCCTGAGCTAAGTGAGCAGTTTTGTCCTTCAAGTCGACTCAGCAGGAAAAGGCAACTCTTTGATCTCGCTTTTCTGGCGACACACTTTCAAATGGCTGGAACAAGGCATTTGCCACATCTCTTGAGGCGGGGAGGGCATAGGTGGGGTGGGACGTGAATGCAGGAAGCCATGTCAAGTATTTACAGTAGCAGCTCAACAGCAGCGCTAAGGAATGGACAGGGAATGAGGAGACAGCTTGATGTTCTTATGTGTCAAGTATACGCATGGGGTGAGGGCAAATAAGGACTGTCTGAAGGGAGCAAACATGACACAAAAGCCATTCCCGGAATATAAATATCACCAGGACACTAAGCTGGGAAGGAAAGGGAGAGGCCGGAATCAGGCTCCTTACAGTACCGTTTTCAGTGTCCAGTAACATCTCAGTTAGCAGTTTCTCCAGGACACCTTGGTATTTTTCCAGCTGCCTAGAGTTGAGCTGCATTCTGATTTCCACAGGAGCAGTCAGCTGTGAAGGAAAGCCAAATTAGCCAAAAGAAAGGAAAATGAACAAGGTGGCGGTAGATAGACATGGTAAACAATGCTCCCTGCCTCACAGGACTAGGGGTCTTCTGCGCGGGGTTAGCCATTGCCACATACCACATTTCCCTCACCCACCTGAAACCCAGCCACCGACATCCATTTCACAAGAGCAGGAGGCAGTTCTGTTGCATGGGTTTGGGCTGGGCTGACATAGTCTCTTATCTGGAGGGCAACTGAGGCTTGATCCTGCTTTGTTCAAGTCAGGGGAACAGGGTAGGGTGGAGGAACCGAACCCCTTGTTAGAGTGGCTATGAATGAGGATTGAGTCTCAAGAGCTCCTTACCCAGGCCTGGGTTATTAGATGTCTTTGGGCATCAAGCCTTTGGTTCACCCAGATGTTGGTTTGGAAAGTAGGCTGGGCCCTCTCCCCTGGCTGCAAACCTCGGAGATTAGCAAGGACTCAAGAGGAGAAAGTCATCTTTGACTCTGACAATCCCCCACGCTGAAGCCCTCTCACAGGCCTGTGGACTCTGATGGAGCTGTAGGACTGGGCACATTTCTGCCTCAATTAACAACACTAAATAGACCAGTTCAGGCCAGGCCTGGGATGGGGAGCTGACACCTAGATGTACCTGTTATTTAACACTTACTATTGAAAATATACGGAGCTTAAACACGGATATTGATTTTTTTTGACCCAGTTTGGCAAGAGTGGATGTGTGCTTGTTAGTCTGGGTCCTGGCCAAAATCCAGCTTAGCTAGTCTTTACATTCTACCTGGATGGGTTTCCCCCATAGCTTCAGGTGAGAAAAGTACAGCTGTGCTTACAGCACAGATGTAGCTGTATCAGTGGGTGGCTGAAGAGAGCGCTCTACTCTCACCGAGTTTTCAGACTTGGTGGGTGACTGCGCAAGAGTGTCTTGGGGACACACACAAGCCCTGAGACATCTGAAATGGGTGTTTTTCTGCCCCAAAGTGCTGATTTAGAGTTGGAGGGACCCCAATTTATAAACTCAAATGACAAAGCACTTTGCAGTCCTGCAAAATCAACAATCCTAGGCAAAGACCAGGCAATAATACTACAACCTGTCTCTGCTATAACCATGAGCAGGGTCAGGACCTAGGGGGCATCCTTTTAAATAATTTGTGAGCCTTTGAGTGGTGTTCACTGTCTCCTGTTGCAGAAGCTTTTAAAACACTGGCATGTAGCTACAGCTAGATCGTGTGTGTTTGCACATTGGCAGTAAGCAGATGTAGGTAGGCCCCCCCTGCCAGTGTGTCTTCCTCAGACCCCTTCATGGTCACCTCACTGTTCTCCTCACCTTGATCATCTCACCCTCACTGACACCCTCCATGTTGGAGGGCCCAGTAAAGTCTCCTTCTTCCGATCGCTGCTGCAAGGTCAGGGACTTCTTCTGCCCTTTGTTTCTTTCTCTCTCCTGGAGGCACAGAGCAAGGCACAAGGTAGAACAGATGCCATGTATCAGACACGTCAAGGATGCAAGCATTAGGTGGGACAGGATGGGGGTTCAAGGAAGGGTTGTGTCCATGTCTGCCATTTAGTGGTCAGGGGAAAAATCCTTGCCCACAGAAGATCCCCAGCACCAAGCTGGGGTCTGTAGGGTATGAGCCAGGGGACAGGATTTGAGCCTGTGTTTGTATATATGAATTCCCTCCTATCCAGTTGCATAGACAGTCTCTTACTGGTGCTGCCCTGTCTCTGCACCTGGTGTTGCTGCAACAAGCCACCACCTGTTTGGCACCATCATGGCGGTAGTAAGGGCACCCACTGGCAGACTGAGGGGGCTATCCAGTGTGTCCTGCAACTGCTGGAGCAGTTCAGCTGAGCTGGATGCAGAACCAGGGAAATAAAAGATCAGAGAGCCCTAAGTGGTTACTGGATCCAATGCAGGATTGTTTTGTCCCAGTGCACCCCAGAAAGGCTGCCGTTGACTTCAGCTCTTATTCCACAGACAGGAAGCTGGTATCCCTGAAGTGGGATCAGAACCACCAACTGTTTAGCTAACAGCCCAAGGCTGTCCTGCCTGGTAATGTGCCAGGGGACTTTATAATCTGCCAAGACATGTGGAAGCTCACTGTTGCCATAGGGGCACAGAAGCCAGGTGTCCTGAGCTGTGTGGTTAGCCATTTCCAAGTGACAGCCTTGGACCAGACATTGGCTCTATGTATGACCCTGGATGAGTCATGTGAAGCCCTTGCCCTTCCCTTTCTCCCCATGGTAGACCAGGCAGTGACACACACCAGCTGTGAGGAAGGGGGATGCTGAGGTTTAATTAGCTAATGCCCATGCAGCTTTTTTGACTGTAAAGTGCTGCCCGCCTGCCAGGCATCTGTAATAGGTTTTTCTGGAGTCTGCAGTTTCTAGTCCTCTCCAATTTGAGTAGGGCCACCTGTCTGCACCACACATCCCCCTCCCCAAGGGAGCTGCAAAATAAAGAGGCGGCAATAGAGGAAGTCTGCTGGCACTGGGGATACTTTGAGGTGGCTGCTTAGTGCAGGGGGCTAACCTGGGTATTCAGTGTAAGAGAAGGAGATTTTGGAAGACAGGTAAGACTGGCTTCTTTTGCTCCCCCGGAGGCATCATGGGTAAAGACTGAGAAGTGATGCAGGGGGACCATGCCCTCCCCTTTCCCTCTGAGGGTGATGTATTGCCCAAAAAGCGACTACATCAATACTCAGCAGAGACACCAAGGAAGAAATGGCTGGGGAGCCTAAACTGTCTACTCACTCTCTGCTCAGTGGAGGAAGGCTGGCTCCTGTGATATCAATAGGAGCTTTGCCAAAATTTCACCTCTGCTGTCTCTGTGGGTTGAAGAAGTGTAAAGGGGGCTGCTGGCAGACACACAAATAAGCAGGTTTGGTACTGGGGACAAAACCCGGCAGGGGGGAAGGAGGCCATGACCTGAGCTAAACCCTGCTGTGTGGGAGGAAGGAGGTGAGATTCAGTGTTACCTGCCCTGGGGACTCAGTGTCACTGGCTGCTGCTGGCATGGAGCGGTTTGCTTGGCTTTACCTCTTACTGCTGGTACTACAGACACAGAGTCGCTGCACCCAGCTGCTGCTGCCATACATTAACAACTCTAAATAGACCATAGCCACACTGTGGGGCTACTGCAGCACCAGGGACCCTTCGGGGAGCCGCCATTCAGGCGCCCCCTGTAAGTCAGTGTCCAAGGCTAGTACCGTGCTTGCCCACCATAAGCTATACTACTGGGCATTCATTTGTCTAAGCTGGGTGCCAAGGACAGTGACCAATCTCCAGGGATGCCAGCCTGGCACTCTGCAGAAGCATTCATCTCACATCAAAAGGAAAACATTTTCTTTTGTGCACTGCCCAGAGCTGACACCCATTTGGGGGATGATTAATTATTTGCTAGAACAAAGAGACCCAGCAGAATCATGATGGGAGCTTGCAGCTTTTCGGTAACAACCAGAACCTGCAGCAATTCTAAGACGAAAAGTAAAAAACTCATCCGTAAATTAATATAAACTGGCCTTTTGTTTCCACTACGCTGGTCTGTGTTGAAATGATCCTCAGGACTTTCTTTTTAGTCCTGAGTCTGGGAGCGTTTTTCCTCGTATCCTCTGCAGCACCAGCGAGTCAAGTGCATTGCAGACTTGGAGGATGCGCTCAGGCTGTGTGTGCTGGGACCAGAAGGGAGCCATTTAGAGGAACCCAGGCTGGTTCTAAACAAGCTGGTCTGTCTACACAACACAAAGCAGGGCCATGTGGGGATACTCGCTCGGGTTCCGGAAACAGCACAGCCTAATTAGTCTAAAGAACTTTGCTGAGAAGCTGGGCTAATGAGCTCTGGCACAGACCACACTAAGGCAACTATGCCACGTCTGGTTTCAAAACTCGCCTGGAGGAGCAAGATGTGGTATTGCTACACAACGCTGTGTCATGCCAAATACACACACGCTCCCCGACCACCTCCCAGCATTGAGATAGGACGTGTCGTGAGACAGGGAGTTTGTTCTGGTGACGATTCTACTGGACGTGGACTTGATAACTGAGCAGTCCCTTTGACTCCATGGGAGTTTTACTGCAGTGAGAACAGCTGCAGCTTGATTTTCATTGCTCCATCTCCCATTTGAATCCCTAATTCAGAAAAGCTTCACTGTTCAGGAGAGGATTTGACAGCATACTCTGCTTCGAAATGCCCAGTGAGGATGATGCAGGCACCTACCCTGGAGACCTTCAAAAGGATGCACACCTTGCTGAGGTTATTTGACCACAGCAGTCTTTCCTGCCCAGAGCAGGGGGTCCCTTCCAGCCCTAAACTTCTGTGAATCTGTGAGCACGTGTTTCAAGTTAAGTGCTAGCTTAAGTGCCTTATTAAACAGGGAGGGTGATAAGGTTTGCATTTACATGCTTTTCTAAACCAGGATATGAGTTCCTGGGCCCCGAGCACCTCTGAAAATCCAATCATGGAGAACTGTCTAAGCAGGTGCTTCACAGTTTGGCTCAGAGCCTATCCACATTGACAGCAATGGAAATCCTTACTCTTGTCTCCTTTTATTTGAACACAAGCCCTTCACTTTTAGAAACTCAGTCAGCTCAAGGCATAGGAGAAGTGGGCTTGCTGCTCCCAACCTGGCCCTAGTGACTGGCCATCAATGTTGTAAAACTGTCTCTCATATGCACTCAGTCTCTGCTCAGAAGGAAGAGGAGACTAGGAGAGCATGGGCCTCCCAGGCCCTGGAGCTGTGTGTGGGGGAAGCTGCACTGAGAGCACTCCCTGTCCCCTTTAATTAACTCTTACGGGTGCTGGCCATGGCAGTATGTTTCTCAAGGGTTACCTGCATCCTCTGTATGTCGCTGTGAGTGAAAATGGGTAAGAAGCCTTCAGTCTGCTCGGCCAGCATGGCCATCCCATACACCACCAGAAGAGTCACCACGGCCCTCCTTGAAACCATCCTTGGAGCTTGAGAAAGTCTGAAAGACAGAGGAGAGGGCAGGTCATGATACGCTAGTGGGGAAGGCTGCCTGCAGCCTATAAAATCAATGCAGAACAGTTTGAAAATATGAGTTACAAAGATGCCCTCACTGAATAGAATAACCCAAAACCCAGGACTTTAGCATGGACTGTCCAGGAGGAGTTTGGGTCTTATAAATACATTTCTTTAGCCTTTATTTCTGAGCAGCCTTCCACTCCATGTCTATTCTTCCAATGGTTTCTGCCACCGACAGTAGCTGTCAAGTGATAATCTCACATCTCCTTAAAGATCTGACCTGGAGCCAGTGTTAGTCAAGGGCTTGATCCTATAAGCTGATGCACAGCTCCTGAAAGATGCAAGGTCTCCCACTTCCTTGCAGAAGTCAACTCACATGATCATGCGGACCACTCCCAGCCGACCCTCTGGTGAGACAGGTGGGGATGCTTACCTGGTGTGGGAGAGCAGTGCTCTCTGCAGGTACATGGGTTTGCACTTTGGAGCCTGGAGCCCTTGCGACTGGACAGTGCCCTGGAAGGAGCATTTTGCCTAAAGTCTCAGAACTCTGTATTTTCTGAACAAAGACTAAAGCTGAGATTTTCAAAAGAGGTCAGTTATTTTGGGTGGGTACCTGCTCAGAGATTCCTGAAAAAGTTTCAGTTTTCAGAGGGTGGGTGCATCTGAATGTCAGGTCCCTTTAAAGACAGACAAGGTTCTTTGGGTAAATCTGGTATCTTTTATTAGACCAACTCATGGAAGAATGTTTCCAACTATTTGGGTTGGTCTAATAAAAGATATTAGATTTAACAAAAGAACCTTGTCTGCCCATGTTCTTAGACCAACACGGCTACAACCTATGTCCCTTTAAATAACGATGTCACTTCCAGCCAGGCTCTGGTTTCCAACAGATGAATGCTGAGAGGGGTATCTGCTCTGGAGAAGAAATCCTAACTGTGCAGGGTAAAGGGCAAGACAGTCCTGCCTAGAAATCCTCTAACAGACTAGCAAGGTGGCTCCAGCTGGCCAGTTCTTAGGTATTATGAGCTCCAGCTTGTTTCCCCGTTAAATTATGAACACTTGCCTGATTTCGGAAACCTTGGCTTTGACTATCTGCATAACAAATAATTGATCGTGAAATCATGGTGCATCTTTGTATAATATGTTATAGATTATACAGAACTTTTCACCTAAAGATCTCAAAGCACTTTATAGCACTATCCACACTTTACAGATGGGGGAACTGAACCATGAAAGGGTCTCAAGTCAGTGACCCAGCTGGAGCTCAGGATTCCTGCTTTAGAGAGAGATCTTAGTGGTCAGAGCAACAGACCCGTCATGCTCTAACGAGCCTCTCCATGAGCTAAGAATACAACCCAGGGGCTCCAATTCCCCATTCTCTGGCCTAACTCCAAGACTTCCCACCCTCCTTGAGCTGAAAAAAGTCCCTCCTCCCTAGCAAATCTTGATGAACTCCCCTTTTCTTAACATGAGACAAATACCACTGCTCATAAACAGGTTTGTTCAATCTGGAGCAATAATTTCTGTATTAAAAACATGGTGTTGCAGCATTTCAGAGCTTCCCCGAAGTACAAAGCCCACACACATTCAGTAGAAACTGCTTCAGTTTCCTGCCTTAAGTCTCCACAGTGAGGAAAATAGTGACTTAGCACAAAAGCAGTATCTTTAATTGTTTTATTAAAATCTTTGTTATATTTTCCTTCAATAAGCTTTGGGGGAGGGAAGAGGAAACAAGGCAGTCATGTCCCACGCTCTAATCCTATAAGGATTTATAGTCATCTCCCATTGGTGCACTGGGTTTTTTTAATAAAGCTCTCAAGGAGCCCAAAACATCTTCTACCACCTCAGGCCATGGGAAAGGGTTTTAAAAACTAGTCTCCACCTTGATTTAACAGCCATTAGCCATCTGAAAGAGGATTTATATAAACATTAAGCACCCTTGTTAAATATTAAACCCATCTTTCGGAGTGCCTTTAACAAGGTACGGGCTTACAACTTAACTACTTCCTTTGTTTTCCTCCTGATCCTTAATTATTTTTTTAAAAGCTCTGGTTTCAGGCATTATTAAAGGGACATCAGGTCAAATTTGCACCCCCGCAAATGAGATTTCAGACAAATATCAGCTTGTGAACCAAAGACCAGTAGAGACAAATGAATATTCCTCCCATGCCCGCAGTTTTTGCGAAACAAGCATTTTGGCATTGAGTGCCAAGAAAGGGCCATCTCAAATGCCACCAAATTAATACAGGAAGTGATGTACCAGCTGAGACCTATCGATCCGTCGGAACCTTCAGCCTGCCTGCCCCATGCCCTGTACTACATGCTGCCACTCGCACTGGTGCGAATTGCTATGGGATCAGAATGATCAGACCAGATTTCCGATTTCCTGTTGGGGCAAACGGGCATTTGCTCCACTGAAGTCAGTAGAGCTATGCTGATATGCTACAGAGGCTGATGTGGCCCTGTAATGGTTGACATGGCACTGGGGGGTTATGAAGATGGCATCAAGCAATTGTCTTCCACATCCACCAGGAGCAGGGCAAGAAGAAAGCAGCTTCACTTGCAGCAAGGAAGAGTTAGGTTGTATATAACTCAGAGGGCAGCAAAGCACTGGAAGAGGCTACCTAGGGAGGCTGTTCAAGTAGATTAGCCAAACAACTGCCAGGGTGGCCTAGGTATGCTCAATCCTGCCTCAGTTCAAGGGATGGACTAGATGTTCCCCTGAGGTCCCTTTCAGCCCTGTGTTCCTGTGACTCCTGCTAAGTGCAGGAGAAATGAGGTCTGTCCTGTCATAATTGCTTTGGAACAAGGAGCAAAAAAGCCCCAGAGTGGACAAGACCCCTGCGGAGGCAATGAATGGCTGGCTTATCAAACCTGTGCATTGCACTGGGAACTGTGCCTTAAAATCAGCTGCACCACCTGTCTCCATGGAGCGTAGCGTTTGCTTGGTTGTAATGATCAAAAGGGGATCGCCCGGATCTTTCCTTCTAACAGGAATTACCATGTGTATGCTCTGATATGCGGTGTTATCTCAGTGGGATCATTCTTTTGCTTCATTTTGTTTATTCTGTAACTTCAGTAAAGTACTGTCATATAACCCCCCCGGTCACTGTCTTCATCTCCTATTGACTAGCTCTGCATGAATCTGTTCTCCCCCAGAGAAAACCCCCCTGCATTTGCCAAATCAGTCAGCTGGCCCACGGAACATCCTTTAATTTGTAAACAGGACATGTCTTTTATATTTTACAACTTCAGCCCACTGTCTTCCTAGGCAAAGATGCAGCTTGTTTTGGAATTAGCTTCCCAGGTAGTGGAAAGCAAGGAGAATCAGAGTGGCACCGCAGTGCAGCATGTGGAGCTGGGCTGTATGCTCCCAGCACCTGATGTTGTCTTGGAGATACATGTGAAGTGGGTGCAAGGTCTGGAGCATTTTTGACCCCCTTGTCACTGCTGTAAAAATCTGCTGTGCAGTGATGGACCAGGTCCTTCACCTGATGAACATCAGCTCAGGACCAGAGAGGGGAGTTCAAGAGTTAATCTAGACAAAACCTGCCTCCGATTCATCCCTTGTGCACTCAAAGTGTAACACTCCAGACATGAGACACTGCATGTCCCCGAAACATCCTCCATTGTCTGACGGGTGCTAACTGGCTGTAATGAGAGTGGCGTCAAAGTAATCAATGCTCATGTGGAGAGGGATGAGCAGAAAGCACCTTTCCCCTTGTTCACACATTGATTTTGTTCCTGTCCTCCCCAACCTTAATAGACTGGAACCATCTCTCCTCTTTAAAAGTTTCTTTGAAATCAGCTAACTCTTGGAGCATCGACTCTGTAGATGGCAGCTGGACTGGACCGGCCCAGCCCTTCTGATCAGGGAGAGGTCAGAGGGAGGGAGACCTGACACAAAAACTGGAGATGAAATTAGGATGAAGGAAGGAAGAATGAAGAAAAGAGGAGAGAGACTGGAGCAGAGAAGAGCCTTGGGCATGTATGAAACAGGGGCCCTAAATTGAAGCGGTGGGTTTTTAAAAACACTGCTTCAATTTAGGGCGAAGTAAACCCCTGTGTCATGTACACCCATGTCTTAGCTGCCTCTCCAGCAGTGGGGAGAGGAGGGCGAGCTGCCGGTGGGTGGAGTGGCCCCTGGGCTGGGGGGGCAGGAGGGGGAAGGGGGGCTGATGTTTCCCTCTGTGCCCCCCTCCTATGTTTGGGGGGGGAGGGGAGAAAAGATCAGACTTGCCCCTTTTTTTTTTTTTCCTTTGGTGCAGCCTGCCTTCCCAGGCTGCTGTCAGGTTGCCTACACAGCCCCTGAGCTGCATGGAGCCCAGTGCTTTGCTCCGCGGCTGTAGGGCAGTAAACTAAAACTCCTCGGAGGTGTTTTAGTTCGCAGCACCCCAGAGTCATTTAAGGCACATTACACCGCCAAATGTAATGTGGCTCAAATTAATGCACAGTACACCACTGACGTGTGCAAACACCAACACCATTAAAGCGGTGCAAAAGCATTTAACCTGCTTTAAAGTATCGTGCACACATGCCCCTCATTTAGTCTGCACATGCCCTTTGATAGCAGGGTGAAAGCAAGCAGGAGATCTATGTGCTATCAGAGCTTATTCAGCACCTCCAAAGCCTGGAGCAAACATCTTGTGTACGGGGGTGAATTTCACTCATCCGTAAACCTAAACTCGGCTCCTCCGTGAAGGAGGTAACACAACAGGTATTACATCCCTGTTTATGACGTGGGGAAGCTGAGGACAAAGAGCCATGCGGCAGCCCTGCCAGGTGTGGAATGCAGGACCCCTGAGAAACAAGACTTCCTCGGAAGATAAGCAGCTCCTCTGATTAGCTCACTGCATAGGGTTCAAAGTGCATGTGGAGAAATAAAGACTGACCAGGACAGCTGGTGGGAGAAAGTTCATTGGGACCTCATTCCCCCAGCATCTGCAGTCCCATCCATATCAATGTGTGGGTTTCACCGGGATTTCATTCCTGACTAGCACCTGCCCCACCCAAAAAATGTTCTGACAAAGGGCAAAGGTCCCGTGCCAACATTCCCATTTGTTGTTCTACTCTGCCATTGTGTACGAGATCCAGTCACAGCCCAATGTTTTGATCAACCTGATTTCATCTCTCCAATCTCCTCCCTGGAGAGGTCTGAATTTTTTGTTTTTTCCTCCCGCTCAGAACCTGCAGCCTCCCTTCAGCTCACCCAATCCCATCCCATCCCACCGCTGAGCTCTGCTCTTCCGGCCCGCAGACACCACAAACGGAAACCAAGCACACCGGACACTCACCTCGTGCATGTAGCTGGGTAGGACTCTGATCTTCTGGTCTCTCCTGTGAGCTCCTGCCTGGTTTCTTACCCCTTATATACCTGCCAGAAGCACCGGTAGGATATCACCACCCATTATTGGTGCCCATGGCTCCCAGAGAGGGGGTGGGCAGATAGCTGAAGTGCATGGAGACAGTTTTGTCACACAGGCAGCAGGTCCTTCTGCGAGGAATTTGCTTTGAGAGTTCCCAGTGGCGGCCCTCAGGATGACTCAACTGGTCTGGGTCCACCCTGCCTTAGGGCAGTCGTGCACCATGGATCAAGGGTCATGCTGGACAAAGCATCCAAGCTGCCTGCCCCTCACACCCCTTCTTCGTTCCATTTCTCACTGCTTGGGCAGAAGTGCTCCAAGGTTGGTTCATGTCCACCCTTTGCTTCAAGTCCCCTGCCCCCTGAGCCAGATCTGGACGTGGCTGAGGCAGGGGTTAATGCATCCATCATGTGCCCTGTGGTGCTGATGCATGTCCCCACTGGGGCTCCATGCCTTGGATCTCAGTGGCTGGCCTTGCCCTACTGGCCCAGCCCCGAAAATCCCAGCCCCAAGGGCCACACAATACAACTAGGGCTGGATCTGGCCTGCTGGTTGTAAATCTGACACCCCTGGCTTAAGTGGTGCCAGCGTGAGGGAGCAGCCAGTCTCATTGGAAAGACTGGCAAAAGCAGGAGCAGCACCCAGGTCATTGAAGGAGTTGGCTCCCTGGATATACATTGTGAGTCAAATTCAGTACCAATCTATGTCTCTCTGATTGGAGGGGAGGGTGTTTTTGCGGTTCCTGCAATGGACTCAGACACAGAAAGCTTGAGTTAACTGCCTGCTTCTGTTAGGATACCCTCTGTGCCTGTCAGATAGCACAATGGACCTTCCTATGTCCCATTCCTGTGCTTGTTTTGTCCACTTGGACTGGGGCAGGATGCCTCCCTTACCATGCGCACATGACAGCTGCACAAGGACATCTGGTTATCAACTGGCCTTTCTAAATGCTACCATCTCACACACAAAAAATAATAACTGCGATGCCACAGAGACAAATGCAATTCGGGGTAAAGTTTGACCTTTTGGTATTACACAGGCATGGATCTGAGAGAATGAATGACCTACAGGAATATAGAGCTAAGTAATAAATAATAAATAAAGTTTTGCATATTAAATTTATCTATCACCATTCATCCCGAAGAGCTTCACGGTCTGAATAGACAAAGGAGGGAAAGACATTCAAGCCAGTCCATAGGATTTACTTGACTCTTAAGTATGTATCTTCCCTCCCTCCATTACCATAACACCTGAGCACCTCACCGTCTTTAACCCATGTATACTCATAACTCCACCCAGGAAAATCATTCCAATTTTTTGTCCTATGGGAAACTGAGGCAGAGAGCCTAAGCCACTTGCCCACAGTTACCCAAGAGGCTCAGGTTACAGTGAGGGCCTGAACTCAATGCCACCCAGGTCCCAGGCGAGATCCCTCACCCTTGGATCTTCCTTCCTCACTAGACACACGTAGACATAGGCTCTCTGTGTCTCTTTGTGCCTTTGGCTATCCTTTGCAACCAGGCACAAGCAGCACATGCTGCGAGGGCAACCCAACATGGGAGCAGTCTGCACCACTCTGCACAGATGTAAAGGACCCCCAGGGCAGAGCAATACTTAGTCTGTTCGGTCCCTTGGGCAGCACTTGATCCCAGGCCAGACTCATTTTACATAGCACTTAAATGCCACTTCTATTTAAAAAGGCCAAACTACTCCCCAAGGCACCTGCTCAAAGCCACTTGGAGGCAACAGAAAGACCCCCAAGGATGTCAGAGGGCTTTGGGTCAGCCTCCAGCAGTGCATGGCAATGCCACCAGGTTTAAGACAGGATCTAAAGAGTGGCTTGGTCTATGGACTCCCAGGCTAGGCAGTTTGCAGTCACCCAATGTGGAAACTAGCCCCTGACACCAAAGTGAAATCCTCCAAACTCTTGAGGGGAAAAAAACCAAATGGAATTTTCCAGCTGTAACTGGCCAGGATGTTCACTTTGCATCTCACCTGAGCCTCGGGTCCACGCAAACCAACCTGAGCCAAAAAAGGAGCGAGGGAATAAACAAGTTAGCGAATGTATGAAAGCCCACTCTGTTTAATAGCTTTCCGGAGTGTTACATCTGTTGTTTGAAGTAGCATTCCTGCCTCTCTGATTGAATGCTGAGCACTGGCAATATTGGCCAGATACAAGGAGGGGCAAACCGTGAAACAAGCCAATTAAAAGCAGTTTTTCTTTCCTGCCCGGCATCACAGCTGGTCGATACAGCGTGTACAAACTCCAGCTCCTTACCTGGCTTTCACAATAGCTTCCCTGCTGTCATCTCAGTCAATAATGCTTCATTTGGGCCAAACCATTCCTTACAAAATTTGCCAGTAGTTAAGATGCTTCCCAGATCCCTTTGTATTTATTACAGTTTATCACAAGGACAACATTATGGGCTCGGTTGTAAATCTTTAGGAGAGGTCAGATAGCTTCTCTCCCTTGGAGCATGTATATGTGTGTGCGTGAGTGTTTAGGGCAAAAGAAACATCATTCACTAGCTTGTCTTCCCTAAAGAATTTGCAAAAACTCATTTGACACTTGCTTTCATTTTAACTGAATTTTCAGTCTTTTTTTTTCTCTGCCTATGATGGATGCAGCTGACGAGTCAGCAGATGGTGTTGGGGAGCGACAAATTAATTACCAAGAAAGGTCACTTTTTCAAAGTGCTAAACTTTCACGTGGCTTGTCCCCTTTTACCACAAAAATGTGGCTGCTGGCAGCGCTCCAGTCCATCAGCAACGAAGCCTCCTGGACCAAAGGAATGACCTTTAAAATAAAAGGAAAGACTGTAGAATTAATCACATTTGCATTAACTGGATACAGTACACCAGGTTCTCATCTCAGTTATATAAGCGATGCACCCATTTACCTATGTCACCGGGAATGGAAGGTGAACGCAGCACTTGAAACAAAGGGGTCAGATCTTCTATTGCTGTAAAAACAATGAAATGCTTCTAGCTCTGCTGACACTGAAAGCTCTTTGGGAGAGGAGCCATCTTTTTGTTCTACGTTTGCGCAGCACCGAACACAACAGTGTCTGTGGCCATGGCCAGGGCTTCTTATTTCCAACACGCTGCAAATGGCAAGTGATATTAACTGCGGCAATTTTGCTAACTGTGGATCTGGTCCATCATTTCTTAAGTTTCCATATGGGCACAGCCTGCCTGGAATCAGAGACCCATAGAAAATGAGGCTTGGAAGGGACCTCAGGAGGTCACATCTAGTCCAACCCTTGCTCCACAGGTGACTGGTAGGGGGACTGGGGGTGGGGTGGGGCATGTACCCCCCCGAGATTAGCCCCGACTCGGCACCACTCAGGACAGGGCAGTTTTTTTGCCGTTGGGGGAGGAGGGCGGGGAGCACTAAGCCACAGCACCGAAGGAGTGGATACCTACTCCCCCAGACTCAGGAGGCACCAGTCACCCCTGCCCTGCTCAAAGCAGGACCATCCCCATCAACATCATCCCAGCCAGGGCTTCGTCTAGCTGGCTGCAGGGGGATGTGTGCGTGCGTGGAGAAGCTCCATCTTTGAAAAATTTGGAGAGCAAGTTGGCTGGGATGGATTCGTCTGGGCTGATCCTGCCCTCAGCAGGGGGCTGGACTAGATGTCCTTGTGAGGACCCTTTCAGCCCAACTTTCTCATGATCCTCTAATGGCTGAAATATGTCCCCAAAACCTCCGCCTAACCAGGTCCCTCCCTGCAACAGCTCCTGATCTGCAGTCCCTCTCCAGCATCAGTGTTTCATAAAGCAAAATCAGCAGAGACTGCATGATATTGGCTTTGTTTGCAGCACTATCAGTAGCTAAAGAAGTCAACATAATCTGGAGTAATTTTAGCAGAGAACAGGCAGTGGCTAATCCCCATTAAACTGTATACCAATTATGACACCCAGGGAATCAAGGAAAAGGTGATTCCCCTTGCCTGCAGCAATGAACAATCCTTTCAAAGTCTTATACTTCCTCTGGAGCCCTGCATATCGTGTTGCCTTGTGTTTGGGGTATTTTAATGGATGGGCTGCCAATGCAAGTCTGAATTTCCCCTCTAGGGTAAAGCAATAGTCCAAGCAGACCCCACTGATCTGTGCATGGGCATTGATTAGCCATGGCTGGTCTGTTTGTGATATTTATACAGGCTGTACTGCGATACCATGGACAGATGGAAGTTCTTGAGCAAGATTTAAGCATCCGGTTGCCTAAAGTTAGACTGTTAAGTCTATCTTGGAGCAAATGAATAAATGGCCTGATTTTCAAAATGCTGTATGTAATTGGCATAATTGGTACTTAGCACTTTTGAACATGCTATTTATTTGCACAGCTAAATGTAGAGGAAAGGAGCTTAATTTTAGGCATCCAGCTTTGAAAGTCTTGGTCCAGCTGGATGAGAGAGATCTGCTCCAGACAGCATTTTCCTCACTGCTCTCTATGCGGGGATGTGATCTGGACACAGAAGGCCCTGCTGCCGGGGACTGCTGATCCTTACTAATGAATAAAGTGCCCGTGGCAACTTTTAATGCATTTTTTCTCCTAAATATTAGCTCTGTATAAATATTTGAAATGCACGAGCTTAAAGCACATGTTAATTTAGGGCATAAATATTTTACGTGCACAGACTCTTACTCCTTTTTCCATCCCCTCCTCATGCATCAGTCACATTTCTCCCCACTGCTCTGTGGTGTAACTCATGCTAATTCACTGCTGTGTAGCAAGGGTGGGAGAGAGAAGCAATAGCAGGATTTAACCCTTGCTGATTTTAGGCAACATGTCGGACGCCTGTTTCCATCAGCAAATAGTAATGTCTTCAATGAACAGGTGGCTTTATCAGCCGGGGGTCCTCTCCCTCTCCCTCCTCCCACAGCATCTGCCAGGTGGAGGTACCAAATCCAGAGCCACCAGCCCAATCCAGATATCATTCGCAATCTTCCCACCAACTGCAATGAGCTCTGGACTAGGCTCCAAGTTCGATGCTCTAAAGCTTTGAATGGGTGTCCAAGGATGGAGTGGGAATAATCTTTGGATGGAAGGACCTGTTGTAAAGCCAGCATTCGTTTAAAGCAGAAATCACCTCCATGTTGTGGGCACCTCGCTACAAACAGTTGCAGCCTCGGCAGCTGTGGTTTGGTGCCCGGTGCTAAAGGAGCTGCACTGACTCGCGCTGCCTGAGGTCTGGCAGCACGACAATGAAATGGAGAGCAAAGCACTCCTGTGGTCTGACCCCGGCTCTGCAATCACTGCCTCTCAGGCTATGCCCTGGTTAGGTTGGCATTTCCAAAACTGGCTGCTAAGGACATGTCTGCAGAGCCGCACTATGTAGAGATGCCAAGCTGGCACTAGAAGCAGCATAACCATGACAGTGGTGCTTTGCTCCAGGCTAGCCCCACTGGCTAATCTCCAGCTGAGACTTCAGCCAGTACCTCTGGCATGAGTCTTCACTGTGCTGTGCAGACAGGCTGAAGTAGCACCGGCATCTCAACACAGCACCACACCGCATCAAGATGAAGTACTTTTCGTTTGGACTCAGTTATCTGGAGCCCGGCTCAAGATACCCAATACCTCCTTGTTCAGAGCTGATGAGCCCGTGTCGCTCCAGCAGAAGCCTATGGGATCTGCAGACACTTAGCCTCTCTGAACATCAGGACAATGGTGCTGGCCATTAGGTATTCAAGTGTTATGCTGCTTCTGAAAATGCTGGCTTCTCCATCTTGGCTACAGTAGCTATACAAGGGGTGTAACAGAGGAAAAAGATGCTTCGGTTGGCCTGGTCCTGGGCCCCTTCTTTTTCTCCTCCGCCCCAACCTTTTCCAGTGGGGAAACAGATCAAGGAAAAGGATAAAAGTGGGAAAAGGAGGAAAGCTGTTACCTCCGGTTATTAATTTTTGTCCAGGTGCCTGAACCCCCTGCTGCTCCGTCCCAGGGGGAGGGGGGTACAGCACTGGCACAAGGTGGCTTGCCACGTCTCCAAAGAACTCTGCCAAAACGAGACCTAACTGCGTGTAGCGAATGCCTGTGCGAGGCCCCCAAAGGCGGCAGGGCTGGTAATGGAAGGCATTGTGTGTGCCTGACAGTCCTGTGCTGTGACTCCGGCAGCGGGTAAGTCACTTAGCATTTCAGGAAAGAGTCCATTTTCCCCACTCCTAGGGAATACTTATTAGATTTCATGAAAGAGCAATTTAGCCTTTACACATACAGGGCACCCACTGACCTTTTATTTTCCTATTACTTCTCCCTGGCCCCCCCTTCCCGTTCCCATATCAAACAACTGTATATCAGGTTAAGCATAGCAAGACGGAATGCTAAGGTAACAAGAAGTGCATTAAAGAGCTTGCTTGCATGGGCTCCTCGCACAGTCGAATCAGCAGGAAGATGATGTATGATATTCTCGCTCGCACAGAGGATGCAAAATGAAGTGCCATGGCTGGCTGGCAGGCCAAATCCTTAGGGGTCTTTCCTGGGGCAGCCCTCTCTTCCCTTCTCACCCCCCAGTGAGGCCAGAGGATGTTTAGTCTGGGGAAGGAATGGGTATAAACTGCAAAGAAAGAAACCCCGGGGCTCGACCCCATGCGATCTGTCAGCCTTGTCTGCGGAGATGATCCGTCAACGTGCGAACTGTAGCATGAAAAAGAAATAGCTGTTCTCAATGCTGTTGGGTCCCTGGAGATTTTGTGATACTGTGAACTGGATTAAACCAGTCTTGGATGCACAGGATTTATCAGCCCTTTCAGGGGCGAGCTGCCTCTTTCATTCCAGAAATCCTGTGCGGTTAATGTTACAGTTTATCTGCAACCAGGGATAAAAATCCTCTGTTTTTTTATCTTCATGCCAGCAAGATAGGTTCCCTTCAGCTAGGGCCAGAAGAAACACAGCCATGGGGCTGCAGGGGGGAAAGGATGACCCATACAGGCATAGGAAGGCCTGATTCTTCCATAGGGCATTAACACTTACAATAAAGAGCAGTTTAATAGGGAAAAACCAAAAACCTAGCTTAATATGGAAATACTTAATACTCTGTGAGAAAGGGCTGATGATTGATCAGAGCTGGAACACAGTGCAAAATCCTAGGTGAAACCAGGGCAAAACTCCTGCTGCTTTTGTTGTGATCAAGCTTTTCATGCCCCGAAGCCTGGAATCAGATGAGGTGTGGCCGATTCACCTGAACTGGGTGAAGCTCCCTTCAGATCAGTGGGGGTTTTGCCTAAGGAACAAAAGTGCAGCCTCCAGCAGGGAAAAAAAAGCCTCTTCCATATAAACAACCTCAAAAGGTTTCCAAAAGGGAAACAGAAGACAAGACTCATTAAGAAGGGCAGAGGGGAAGGATTGATTATTGGCTTGTTTACCTGGCCTGCCAGCCCATTGTTTTGCTGAATTCGCCTGCTGTCTCTCTCTTTTAGATGGTAGCTCATTAATGCCTTGTGCTGTGTGCTTGTACAGCACCCAGTGTGGTGAGCCCCTGGTTCTCATCGGGGTCCATAGGCACTAAAACAGGTGCTACCAAAAAAAAAAACGAAAAAAGAAAAAGTCAAAGGTCTTCCCAAGCCTAGCAGCCCCTTGGCTGCCATGTAGGGTTGCCAACTCTGTTTGAATCTATTCCAGGAGATTTCATCACATGATGTAATGACATTAATGACTTTAGGAATGACTTTCAGGAAGGCAAATGAACATTACTGTTACATTTTAAAACCCTACTGGACAACTCTATAAATCAGATTCAGCATTCAATATTTATTTTAATGAATGCCCTATCATTTATCTCCTGAGTGACTCTCAGCAGTCTCCTGGAGATTTATCTCTAATTTTTGGAGACTCCAAGGCAATCCTGGAGGGTTGGCAACCCCACTACCATGGTTAGGGTTGGCAGTTTCTGTAGGTTCACCTCTCAAAGGGCAGGTCCCCACGGGCAGCTGGGTTAGCTTATAGTGCAGCAAGGACTGATGTCCCACCTGTGGTGCTGCAGTAACACTGCTGAGGCCTTCTGAGACCAGGCCCCATACTCAAGCGTGGCAGGCAAGGGAGGAAATGACAGTTCAGTCCAAGGGGAAACAAAGGGAGGTGTAGGAGTTTGCTCAGCTGGCAGGAGCTGCCCAGGAGAAGGCTCTTGCATGGAGACACAGATTCATCACCTGTAGAAAGCCTTCCACTGACCTTCCTCAGTGGGAGGTTTGACCCTCTGACTCTGACTTGTCCCCCAGACATAGGAGGTACAAACTGCTATGAAGCCAGGATGCAGTTATCTCATGCTTCCAGCATGCTGTGATACTGGGGCAACAACCCAAATGAACTTTAAAAACTGAAATTGGGGGGCGGAGGAGGGGGGGAACCTTTTAAACTTCTTTCCTCCCGTGTCCTATAAAATGTACTACGTCCAACCAGGACTTCCTAAGACACTGCATTTGATGAGGGTGTTTGTACAGTGGCTGGGAACATTACAGTAAGAAGCTAATAATAGCTTTAATAATTTACAAAGCTTTTGCATGCAATTGCCTTATAATCTGAGGATCTCCGAATGATTCACGTGTTGTAATTAAATCTTGCACCCCTCTGCGGGGACCACTATTATTATGTTCAGCTTAGAGAAGAAGGTACAGCACAGTGAAGGCCAAAGGGTTCAAATCTGGGGCATCTGCCTCCTAACTGGGAGCTCTTGAGGACGGAGACTGACATTATTTTTAAACGGGTTTGCACAGTGCCTAGTGCCATCGAGTCCCTGAGCTGTGAGTGGGACTCTTAGGGACAAAATAGGGAGCATAAATAGTATAGGTGCCGGGCACCATCATTTCCACTGAAGACTGGAGACACTTAGCAGCACTTGCTGAGATTGCATGGGGAATCAATAGCAAAGACAGGACTTTAACTCAACCCCCCTGAATGCCAATTCCCTGCTCTAGGCACTAGACATTACCGCTGCTCTCCCTGCCCCAGTGGAATCTTTTTCCCAAAAGCAAAGCTGCATCAACGATTTGATCCCAGTTCAGTTTGGAGACAGACAATGAGGGAAGTTCTCGTGGGAACAAGCAGTATTTTCCTGCTTGCCTTGAGGATCACATGAACCAACAGTGTATGCTTATGAGCCATCAGTGTGCCCTTGTTGCAAAGAAGGCTAATGGCACACTGGGCTGCATTGGTAGGCGTGTTGCCAGCAGACCAAGGGCAGTGATTCTTCCCCTCTATTCAGCACTGGTGAGGCCACATCTGGAGTCGTGTGTGCAGTTTTGGACCCCGCGCTCCAGAAAGCGTGTGGACAAGTTGGAGAGAGTCCAGCAGAGGGCAATGAAAATGGCTCAGGGGCTGGGGAAGACGACTTATGAAGAAAGGCTGGGAGAACTGGGCTTATTTAGTCCAGAGAAGAGAAGACTGAGGCAGGATTTAATAGCAGCCTTCAACTCCCTGAAGGGGGCTTACAAAGAGGATGGAGCCAGACTGTTCAGTGGCGGCAGATGACAGAACAAGGAGCAATGGGCTCATGTTGCAGCAGGGGAAGTTTAGGTTGGATATTAGGAAAAACGCTCTCATGAGAAGGGCAGTAAAGCACTGGAACAGGTTACCCAGGGAGGTTGTTGAGCCAGATCTTAAAAACCTCCAAGGATGGAGAGTCCACAAAACCCTGGCTGACATGGTATAGTTGGGGTGGTCCTGCTTTGAGCTGGGGGTTGGACTAGATGTGACCTCCTGAGCTCCCTTCCAACCCTCATTTTTTGTGATTCTAGGATCACCCATGTTAGAAGATGGCTTGGTTTGCTACACACAGGGCGCATCTACATGAGACAGTTACTGCACAGTAGACCAATACAAGTAAAAACAAGTACTAACTATCCTGCTGTGGAGTAAAAAACTCTGCAGCAACTCCTGTGTAGCCACTGCCACAGCCAGCCCCTCTGCAGCAGGTTGAGCCGGGGGGAGCAGCCCTGGGCTGGCAGGCTGCCCCCCTGTCAGCTAGGACTGCTTTGGCCTGCTCAATGTGCTGTTCTCCTTGGGTACACATTCAAATGGCAATAGACTCTGAAGTTTACTGCTTCACATTAATTGCACATGTAGACGCACCCACATATACACAGAATTGTACCCATGTTCCCTTGCTTTGTATGGCTGTGCTGCTTATGCATCATGCAAGATATGAAGTGATGCTTTTAAATCAGTATCTTGCAAGCCACTGCAATAGGCTACATCCTAATTTATTGTTGCTTAAAAGAGAATGCACAAAAAAGACCAGGGTCTACAGCTCCTCTGGAAGGATGGTATTTCATAGGGCTCTTTTTTTCCCCATGCAAGTCATTGCTAAAGTACCTACAGGGTTGTTATCTGATCAGCAGCAGTGGGACAGGAGCCCCAGTGCAGTCATGAATGGAAAGGAAGAAGGATCCACAATACCTGTGAAGATGGCTCTGAACTTTGGACAATGCCAGGTGTTCCTCTTGCCTGCCAACTTCCCTTCAGTCTGTAGTTTTCTGTAGCAGCAGAGACCCTGGAGAATCTTTCATGAGCGGGACCCTGTGAGGAAGCAGAGAGACAGGGCTTCTTGGGTACGGGGCTCACTGGAGCAACAGACTTGGGAGGGGAATGTCTGAGCTCGTGTTTTTGTTGCTACTGCAGTCAGGTAAGCAGGATCCTCTGAATTTCTTTTGTCAGTAAGCAAGATTACACCAGGCATAGATCTGCCACGCAGCATCGATTTTGCCTAATGGAAACAACCCCGCAAGGCGCTGAATATCAGCTAATTGCTGCAGCTGACAGGGAAACGGCGCTTTGCAGACCTGTGTATCCTTTTTGCCAGCAGAGGGCTGGGAGCCGCAGGTTGGAGCTGTCACCTGCCACCGAGTTAATCCAGCCTTGAAAAAAACCCCAACCAAATTGTAAGTGCATCTGTGTCCTATTTCTCCCTGTCACACATTGAAATCTATTTGATCCACTCTAATGGATTGATCTACAAGTTGGTGCACACGTAACCTGCTTTGGGCAGCAGGGCTGACAGCGGTTCGCAGATCATGACCTGCCAGTTCCACTCAGGCTCACCTCTGCCAGGAGCTGCTAGGAATGAATCCAATTACGGGATAAAGGGTTTTCTTCCCTTTCCATATGGGCTCCATAATGCTCTGGCTGTGTCTTGCTTTAACCCCTTTTCAGTCAGGTGAGATCGCCAGGCAGGGATAAGTCACTCAGCTCACCAGCTATGTCCAGCTTTTTCTGCTATTAGGACAGGCTTTGTTGGGGGGGGGGGAATAT